TATGAGGTTGTGTAGTTTTTATTGGTTTGAGCGAACAACACTTCAAAAGAATGATGACTCTTTGGTATGCCCAACTCTCAGGCTGGAAACCACTCAACTGGCACCTCATGTTGGAGCAAGGCTACATACAACAGCTACTGAAAATGAAAAGCCCAAAACAAAGCAAAACAAAAGTCCCAAAGTAACAGTCCTACAGGGGACTGGGACCCTGGATCCTGGATGAAAGTCAAGATTTTATGTCTTTTAATAATTCCAATAAAAGTTTTGCATAAATGGTATGCAAAAATGTGGCTTAATTTAAATTAAGAGTAAATTAAATCTAGTAAGAGTAAGGTAAATCTAAAATTGGTTTATTCTTATCACAGGAGAGAGAGAGCTTGGGTTTAATCAAGGCCATGAAGGCTGGGATGAGGTTCAATTAATCCTAAAATGAAGACACGTCAAAATTAGGTTCAGCTTAACATTAGGAAAGATTATGTTTAGGTTTGATTAAGCATATGGATTGTTTAGATAAGGTTAGGTAAAGTTTAGGTTCATCCTGAGGTTAGGAAAGATTAGATTCAGGTTCAGTTAAGGGTTTCGAAAATGTTCATTTAAGGTTAGACTAAAAATAAGATTAAGGTAAAACAAATAATGCTTGATAGCCTTTCACGAATGATCTTTTAAGAAAGGCATACAATCTTCCTTGAAAAATATCATTTGAATGAATGAATATGGTCTTACCTTGAATTCAGTTACTTAGGAATCACTGGGATCTCTTTCTGTTAAAAACATAAACTGTTATTATTAATAACACTGCTACCAGTTTTGTGACTTCCACTTCTTCTGCAATACCTTTTATTAGAGGTACTATAACTGTGATACAAATATTTTTTTTAAACCTGCTCCCTCCGTGTCTACAGCTGAGCTGATCTGCATCCACCTCTCTGTGTGTTTCCGTGTGTGGGTTCACTCCTGATCCATGACGTCTAGCCTCTGCTCCCGTATTAGCCAAGCTGTTTATGCACGGCTGCACACACACAAACACACCTCTACAATCCGATACGACCAGCACAGTTGCACGCACTCACATTCTAATGCAGCTCCAAGAGCTAAGACAATAACATATTTCAAATCTACTGGAGAGTTGGGACAGTGTAAAAAATATATTTTACCTTAGAACTTGGTGAGCCTAACAAATACCAATCGAATTTCTTATGACTATAGTTATGATTAAGACACTCCTGTTCTAATTTGTAGTCATTTGCATTATGTTAAATGCTGGGGTAGATCACCCCTACATCCAACATCCATCCATCCATAGTCTCCTTCCACTTATCCAAGTCCAGGCCTTGGGTACAGCTGTCTCAGTAGACATCAAGACCCTGGTGACGACCTCTAACTCTTCTGGAGGGACTACAAAGCCAGCTGAAAAATATAACCTCTGCAGTAGAACATGTCCCAAATACCTCCTCTAGGAGGCATCCAGGAGGGATCATGGTCAGATGAACCACCTCAACTGGCTCATTTTGATGTGGAGGAGTAGTGGCTCTACTCCAAGCCCCTTCTCGGCGACCTTCTTCTCCTGTCTCCAAGGCTGAGTGTAAACATCTCCTGTTTCACCACATCCCATAGGTGCTCTATTGGATGAAGAAGACATTAAATATGGAGGTAATTTGAGTACAGGGAACTCATTTTCATGTTCATGAAATCAGTTTGAGATTATTTGAGCTTTGTGATGTGTTTTGACACCTGGTTTCATCTATCACTTCAATAGTTCATATCATATTAATATGAACTATTATACTGATAAAAGTTTTTCTTTTTGTACAGCAGCCACAGACCAATTTTATTAATTCTGAAAAAGAGAATAATCTCCTAAAGAGTCTCCACAGGGAGGCAGCAATAGCTTATAGACTAGAGAGTTCCATCTGTTTTTCAGTTTCATAAAAACTCTGTGAAATCTCTGAAATGTAATTTAGAACTACATAAGTAATTAAATCTAATAGAACTACTTATTTACATTAAGTAACTTCATTTTAACTATGACAAAAACTAGTTGTAACAACTACATAAGATTATTTTAGCATAAAAATAAAAACAAACAAACAAAAACATTGCTTCAAGTTAATGAACGCTAACTACAAAACAAGATATTGACGAGGGCAGAGATGCTTTATACATCTGGCTCTGCCTCTACAGTGAAGTCTCAAGGACACTATTGGCCCTCACCCAGGGAAGTATTTAAAGTGTGCTGATGCCGCTTAAAAGCTGTATTCCTTCTATTCTTTTGTGTTTTTA